CCCTGCCAGGCCCTCACAGGGGCTGTGGGGGACAGGGTGACCTGGAGTCCCTTCCCATGGGTGCTGAGCACTGCAGTTAACTGGGAGAGAAGGATTTTCAAGGGCTGCAGTTGGAGGAGAGGGATGTGGCTCGGGAGGAGAGGGAGAGGTGAAGAAAGGGCTAGAAAAACAGAGGAGGGAGGCCAATGCACAGGGCGTGTTTGGCTGGTGGCCACACAAGCCCCTTCCTTGGGAGCTGCCTGGATACTGGAAACAGGAGCAAAACCTTTGGATAACAAGTTTTCATTATCACTTCGGGGGGTTGGCTCCCTGCCTGCCCCTGCCCCTGGCGTGGCAGATCCCAGCAGCTGCTGTGGGGACCCCCCCATCCCTGACCCCCCCGAGCCAGGGGCTGTGAGGGAAGCGCTGAGGCTTCTGCCAGAGCTGGAATCGGGGCTGGGGCGTGGGAGGACGCAGGGCTTGGATCCTGGAGGCACAGGGCCAGCCTGGGAGCTGGAGGGATGGTGTTGGCCCGGGCGAGGCTCCAGCAGAGCTCCACGGCTCCAGCATCGCACCCTGGCAGGGCCGGTCAGGGTCCCCACAGCCCCCCTGCCCTGCTCTGGGTTTAGGGCTCAGCAGGCCCCAGGGGTGAGCCTGCACCTCCCCTCTTCCCACTGCTGGATAACAGCCAGGAGAGAAGCCCTGGGAAGGGCCCAGGAGTGGGAATGGTTCCCATTAGCTGAGGTGGGCTGCACACGGGGGGTCTGGGGGCTGCTGGGCTGCCTCCAGCCAGCTGAGCCAGGCTTGCTGTCTGTCTTGGAGGGGACCAGCAGCTTTTCCCAGGTGCATCCCACCTTCTCCACAAGGAGGGGTCCTGTCGTGCCAGCTGGGAATGCAGCAGGAGCACAACTGGCATCACCTGCAGGGCTTTGCCTCAAGGTGGGGCGTGTTGAGGGGCCACTTCCCTCCTCATCCACCTGCCCAGGGCAAGTCTGGGGTTTGAAGAGCAGGAAAGCAGTGACCTCGATGGGCTGTGGGAGGGTGGGGGCAGCCAGGGGGTTTGTCCCTCTGCTCCCAGCGAGCTCCAGCTTTGGAGAAGGGGAAGAACAGCAGCGTTGAGGGAAAGTTTTGTTCCCCATTTGTTGCATTTATTCCCTTGTCCTGCTCCAGAGGAAAAGCAAGAGGAGGTTCAGAGGGGTTTCCTTTGATGTTTCGCTGAGGAAGAGCATGGACTCTTCTCCCCCTCAGCTCTCCTGGGAGGTCTGGGGGAGCCTCCACCCCTGAGCTGCTGTTTGGAGCCCTGAAGCATGTCCAGTCCATCGGCCACGGGTCTGACCCTGCCCTCCCCCGGCACCAATGACTGTGACACAGCCCAGCTGGTGCCGGGAGCACAGCGCCTGCTCCGGGCTGGAAAACGGGGCTGGACCCGGCTTAAAGGGTCCCAACCCTGGCACAGACCCCCGGGACACTGAACAGGGCTGACAGAGGGGAAACCCCAACACTGGGGGGCACAGAGCCTCCAGTGCAGCCAGAGGTGGGTCCTGTGGCTCCTTCCCTGCTCCTGCCACACTGTCCCCTGCCACTGCCATCCCCAAAAGGGGCCACACCTCACCTGGCAGGTCCCTTTCCACCACGTTGGCCATGCCACCAGGTGAGCATTGGCTTTTGTCACACTGGGGAGCTGGCACGTCCCCGGGGCCGTTGGAGGACCTTGACCCCGGATCCTTGGCACTGGCAGGAGGTGGTGATGGAGGAGCGGGTGAGTCGCTGTGATGGGGATGTGGGGGCATGGGGAAGGAGGGACATGGGGACAACCAGTGCTGGGGGTTTTGCCAGTGCTGGGGTTGCTGGCACAAGGCTGGTGCTGCCCCTGGGCGTTGTGGTGGTGGTTCCTCTGTGGAAGTGTCTCTCCCTGTGCCAGCAGGGAGAGCAGCGATGGCACCACGGGGCATCTCCACACCCGAGGTGCCCTAAAAAGGTGGATTGAGTTGGTTTGGGAGTAGTGATGCCACAGTGTTGGCACATGGTGGGGACGTGTTTCCTGTCCCTGGTTGCTCCCTGACACCCTCCTGGCTGGGACCACTGGTGCCAGTTGAGGGGCAGCAGGGGCATCCCTGAGGTGGGCACTGGTGCTGAGCTCACCCCAAGGGGGTGGAATTCAAGGCACTGTTTTTTGGGAGGAGCAGGTGGATGATGGGATGGCCGGGTGGGCAGTGCCCGGGGTGCTGGGGGAGCAGGATGGAGCCCAGGCGCTGTCCCGTGCTCCACTTCCTTCTTTGGAGGTTTCTTTGAAATGCCAGCGCTGCCTCCCTCCCTCCCTCCCTCCCTCCTCCTCCTAAGGATTATACCAGCCCTGATGGATTTGGATTCACTTTCCAAAGGCCAGGCGGGGTGTGGGTCACCCCGAATCCTGCTCCTCCCTGCTCTGAACCTGCTGGGCTGTGAGGTCTCCCCGGAATTTGGGGGGGCTGATGCCTCACAGGGTCTGTGCCCCCACTGCTGGGGTGGTCGGTGCTCGAGCCCGTCCTGCTTCCTGGGATTTTCTCTCGGCGTGACCTGGGGAAGGAACAGCCGCGGGGGAAGGGGTGGGGGGGATGATTTGGGGACAGAAGCGGGGGGGAGGGATGCAGCCGGTGAATCCAGGGCAGCGACAGAGCTCATCTCAGCGCGGCTGCTCCCCCGCCCTGACACCCCCCCTTCCCAGGCAGCAGCCCCCGTGCTCCGCTGCCCTGACCGGGGTGGGGGGACCCCATAGCCCCCCTGCCAGCCCTCTCAGCCCCCCACAGCCCCTCGACCTGCCCCTCTGGCCCTTCTCCTGCCGCCGGCGGCTCCCCGGCCCCGCACCGGTGCTGGGGGAGGCGGCGGTGCCGCGCTGCCCTTCGCTTCTCCTCTGCGCGGGGACGCGAGCGGGAGCTGTTTGTCCCCGCTGTCGCCTGCCCGCCGGCTGCCGCACACCGGGGCTGCCCAGCCCCGGAGCCACCGGAGCCACCGGAGCTCCGCTGCCGCCGGGAAACGCCAATGCCACCGGGCACGGGGCGCGGGGTACTGGGACGACTGGGAGAGAGAGAGAGAGAGAGGGAGAGAGAGGACAAGCAGAGCCTTCTCCTGCCGCCTGCATCCCCCTGCCCGCCCCGGGCTGCCCCCCCCGGCAGGTGCCATCGCCCCGCAGCGTGGTGGCACCTTGGTGGCACCGTGGTGGCACCCGGCGCTGTCCGTGCCCGCCGTGGCCATGCCGGGAGCCCGGAGCTGGCGCTGAGCTGGGAGGGCCCCTGGCACGATGCTGAAGTTCCGGGCGGACCGGCGGGTGAGGTAGGAGCCCCGGGAGGGCTGGGGGGGACCCGGGGGGAGCCGCGGGCGGGCGGCGGCGAGGGACCCTCAGCCCGGGCAGTGGCTGCTGCATTGCAGTGCTTGGGAGGCGATGGGAACCCGCGAGTTTCTGGAGCGGGGTCAGCCCAGGGAGCTGCTGCCGGGCGCTGGTTTCAGGAGGTTCTTCGGCTGTTTCGGGGGTATTGCCTTGTCGGGGGGTGGGGGCAGACCTGGGACGGGGGGAGGCACCGGGAGGAGCCGTGGGGCTGCAAAGGGTGCATGTCCTGAGCTTGGCGGCGGAGCAGGGAGAGTCCAGCCTGCGGGGACAGAGACCTGCTGCGGTGCAGGGTCGTGGGCAGGGAGGTGGGGACCCCCTGAGTGGGGTTCTGGCACATTGGTGGGTCCTGGCAGCACCCACTTCCCACATCTGGTGCTTTCGGGGTGCTGCTCACTTGGCATTTGCCTCCTCCCCATGTGTCAGCACCATGGGGGGGCCTGAGACCTGCCCCAGTAGCTGTGCTTTGAACCCCTCTGAAGTCAGTGCTGGGGAAAAAAGGGTCTGGGAGCAGCTCCAGCCCTGGTGGTAGAACCCCCTCAGCTGCTGCTGGAGCGTGGGCTGGGCAGGATAACTCGGGTCGGTCGTGGCACAGACAAAACAGGTGCTGGGGGGTTCTGAGGAGTGACCCCCCCCTCGTTGCAGGGTGCACACACACTCTCCGGGTTTTTAAGATGCCCCCGAGCGTGGGGAGCACTGGCAGAGGGGATCAGACCCATGGCAGGGCAGAGGGTGGGACCTGCAAGGGGGAGCAGCTCAGCAGTGCTTTTTTGGGTAGGAAGTGGTTAATGCCTTCAGGGCCTGGCAGCAGCCCAGGTTGGGGTGAAGCTCGGGATGGGATGGTCTTGGCAGCTGCGTTTTCTTGCTCAAACTTCCCCTGTTTTGCTGACATGCAGGAGTTTGGTGTCACGCTGGGCTGCTGGGGGGGGGGGCACCCATGTCCCGGTGCCTGGCAGCTTTGGGAAGGAGGGAGGTCACGGGGATGGGGTCCAGTGCAAACTTCCTGGGATGGAACCCTGAACCTGTGGGTAAACCTTGTCCTTTCCTCCTGGGAAGCAGCGTGGGAGGGGGTTCCCCAGGTGAAGCAGTGAAGTGCTGGGGGTGCCCAACAACATCAGCTGCGTGGGACAGGGGCAGGGACATGGCACAAGGTGCCAGCTGAGCCTGGCAGGAGCCCAGTCTCTCTGCTCCTGGCACTACCAGGGAGCTCAGCACAGCCACCTTTAGCTGTACCCAGCACCACCAAACCAGCAACAGCTTGTGCTGGGGGCCCTGGGCTGGTGTTTGGGGTCTGGGGGGTGCACAGCCCTCCATGGCCAGGTGACCCTGCTCTAAACCTTGCAGTGTTTTGGCAAATGGCTCTAAAAGCAGCAGGGGGAGGGTGTGACATTGGGGATGTCGCTGCAGGCACAGCCCTGGATGGGCCATTGCTGCTGCTGCTGCTGCAGTGACTTCTGAGTGGGGTCAGTGGTGACACCTGAAACGTGGCAGCAGAAGGAAGGAGGGCTTGGCCACCACAGCTCTTGTTTTGGCCCCCAGTGAGCTGAGCACTTTTTGGGAAATGCCAGTGAAATCTCTGTGTGAGAGATTTCCCTTCCCAGAGAAAGGAACAGAGCTGGGGAAGGGTCTGGAGCACCAGGAGCAGCTGAGAGGGCTGGGGGGGCTCAGCCTGGAGAAAAGGGGGCTCAGGGGGGACCTTCTCGCTCTCTGCAACTCCCTGACAGGAGGGGGGAGCCAGATGGGGGTCTGGCTTCACTTCCAGGGTGGCCCACCTGGATGTGGCACTTGGGGACACGGTTTAGTGGTGAACACAGCGGTGCTGGGCTGATGGCTGGAGACTCAGTGACCTTAGAGAGCTTTCCAACCTTCGTGATCCCATGATTCCGTGATTCCACGAGAGATCCAAAGTGATCCAAAGTGCGGGGTTAGCAGGATGGGTCTCTGTGGGGGGCTCTTAACAACCACCCCCCTCCCGTTCCACAGCCACAATGAAAGGCGGAACACCTTCCTGCACCCAGTGACGGGACAGGTCCCCGAGGACAGCTCCAGACTCGACTTGCACAAGTAAGTTGGCTCCCAACTCTCCTGCTTTCAGGGCCTGGGAGTGGCTGGTGATGGGGGGATATGGTGGGAGGGTGGGCTGGGAGTGGTGGGGGACAGCTCCTGCGGGGTGGAGGGACACAGACATGCTGACCTGGCTCCCCTGTGCTGCAGGCCCACCTCGGACATGTCCAGCAAAGCGGGCAGCAAGCGGCCGCCCACCGTGCCCAGCGAGCCCCCCGGCCACGCCATGGTGTCGGAGGGACCCCCGGAGCGCCCCGGAGGCCGGGTGGGTGCCCGGCACCGCGGGGCACGGCAGGGAGGAGCAGGGACGGGGCGCCAGGGACCCCCCCTGAGCGGCTCCTCTGCCCCCCTGCAGGCCCCGCGCTCCTCCCGCAAGGGCATCGCCTTCGGGAAGCGCTCCAACTCCATGAAGAGGAACCCCAACGCCGCCGTCACCAAGAGTGGGTGGCTCTACAAGCAGGTACAACCCACGTGCTGGGTGCTTTGCCTCCCCCCGGGGTTGTCACCCCCCTTGCCAGCCCTGCAGCACCCCCCTGGGCACAGCCATCCCTCTCACGGCCCCTCTCTCGCAGGCCAGCTCGGGGGTGAAGCAGTGGAACAAGCGCTGGTTTGTGCTGGTGGATCGGTGCCTCTTCTACTACAAAGGTACAACCATGGGCACCAGTCCCAATGCCCCCCCCCCCAAAAGCTTGTGCCCCCCCCCCCATCGTGACCCGGTTCCCACCAGCCGGGTGCCTCCGTGCGATCCCAGGCTCTTTCCAAGCTCAAAGGAGGGTGTGCCGGGGGTGGGTGAAGGGGTCTGGGGGTCCCAGCACCTTGCTGTAGGGGTGTTTGCTGTGCTGGGGACCTGAGGGGTTGATGCAGAGCCTTCCCTGCCTCCCTGGCAGCTCCTGGGCTCAGCCCTGGGCGGGCATCAATAATTGAGGAGGCTGTTTGTGAGCCAGGCAGAGCTGCGGGAGCAACAGGCGGGCAGTGCATTCCCACAGGTGGGCTCCCTGTGTGCCCCCCTGGGAAGGAGCAGTGGGATTGGGGGCGTGTCTCTGCTGGGAGGGCAGCCGGAGCTCCCAACTCCTCTGTGTCTGTGTAACCCCAGCGTTCCCCCCCTAGATGAGAAGGAGGAGAACATCCTGGGCAGCATCCCCCTCCTCAGCTTCCGCGTGGCGGCCGTGCAGCCCTCGGACAACATCAGCAGGAAGCACACGTTCAAGGTCAGGGGCTGGGAGGGGACAGGGCACTGGGGGGCACTGGGGTGGTGGTGATGCTGGCAGGGTCCCTGCTGCTCTTCTGGCTTTCTCGGTGACGGGGCTTGGAGCAAGCTGGGGTGAGGGCTGACTGCATATCCCGGGATCCCCTGTGGATACGCCGTGTGGATCTGCCTTCTGCCGGGGAAACTGAGGCACACGTGGGCTGAGCAGCATCCCCAAGGTCACCAACCCCTGCTGCTGCCCCCCAGCCCAGGGCAGAGCTGGGTGCAGGGCCTTGCTGGATGCTCCTACCCCTCTCCCCGTCCCAGTTTCCCCTCTCCATCACTGCTCCCACCAGCCTGTCCCACCGGCTGCCGCGGCGCTTCCTGGCAGCATTCCCAGAGCCAGGCATGGAGGTGTCCCCAACTCTGGCTCTGCTGAGCTGTTTGCCTGGGAAGTGTAACTGGAAGGGAGGAGCCCCTGATGAGTTACTGCCGTGGGGCTGGAGTGGAGAGCAGAGCAGGGAGAGGTGAGGGTGGCTGCTGCTCCCCCACATCCATTCCTGGCATCAGAGCAGGGTCTGAGCTTCCCTGGCACTTGTGGGCATCACTGGGCACCTTTGGCATCACGAGGCACCTTCACCAGCACAGCTGCTCATGCTGCCCATGGTCGTGGGTCACGTTGGCACCCACTTGTTGATGGGCCAATGCCCTTGTGCAAAAACTCAACCTGCACCTTTCCCATGCCCAGAGCCGGTGCTGGGTCCCTGCAGGGCACTGCTGAGGAGCGTTTCCAGCCTAAGGGATGGATTTTTGTAGCTTCCACCCTTAAACCTGCAGCTGGGAGGGCTCAGCCTGGAGAAAAGGAGGCTCAGGGGGGACCTTCTGGCTCTGCAACCCCCTGACAGGAGGGGGGAGCTGGGGAGGGGTCAGGCTCTGCTCCCAGGGAACAAGGGACAGGAGGAGAGGGAACGGCCTCCAGCTGTGCCAGGGGAGGGTCAGGTTGGATATTAGGGAAAAATTTCTTTCTGGAAAGGGCTGTCAGGCATTGGAAAGGGCTGCCCAGGGAGGTGGTGGAGTCCCCACCCCTGGAGGTGTCCAAGGAAGGACTGGACGTGGCACTCAGTGCCCTGGGTTGGGGGACAAGGTGAGGACTGGGCACAGGTTGGACTTGATGGTCCTGGAGGGCTTTTCCAACCTCAAACATCCCGTGATTCTATGAAATGTCTCTGTGACACCGGTGGGGAAAAGCCTTGCAAAGCTGCTGCCCATGAGCTGAGCTTTGCTGAGCTCCGTGCTGGTGTTCCCCAGGCTTTGGGAGGATGGTTTTGTCCAGAGAAGGGTAGAGAGGGTCCCAAGGGCCGGGGGAGGTTTGTTCCTGCCCCGCTGACCCCGTGTCTGTGTTTCCTCCTCCTCCCTCTGAGGATCCCCGGACAGGAGGGGTCTCTTCGTGCCACCCACCACACCAGCACCCAGCCACCACCTAGGTAGTACCTTCTTGTGTTTCTGGTGCATGCAGAGGGTGAGGGACCCCCAGGCTCGCCCGCATGCTCCGCCCCTCCCACTCCCACTAATCCAGAGGGTGAATCCCTTTGATTGCATCTTTTCCTCTGGCTGCAGAGCTTGCAGAGGCAGGAGTGCATGGGGGGCTCAGGAGGTGACCCCCAGCTGGGCACAGTGCCCATGTTCTGGGGAGGATGGAAACCCAAGGGAGGATTTTAATCAATCAATAAAAAACACCAATTTTTTTTTTTTAATTTTTTTATTTTAAGAGATTGAGCCCTGAAAGTCTTTCAGGGGAAAAACCCTCCTGCTTCCCTCCTTTTCTTCCTCCTTGCATGTTCCCATCCCTTTCCAGAGAGGGGGAAGGTGGAAGCTTCAAAAAGGCCCTAAATAACCACGTGCCTTCCAGCACATTCTGGGTGGAGAACGGGCACCAACATCTTGCAGCAAAAGCAAACCTTTTGCCCCCCCCAAAAAATATTTTCCGGGCCAAGAAACCACCTTCCCCCTCACCCTGCATGGATGATGCTCCAACACTGCTGCTGCTCTCGCTGGGACATAAACCCTTCCCCGGCCCCCCTGTGCCCCACGGGGACCCACTTGGGGTGCAGCAACCTCTGTACTGGGGTGCTGCTCCTCTGCTGGGGGGCTCTGGGCAGGGCTGCTGAACACCTCTGGGAGTGACCCCAGGGGGATCATGACCCCAGGGATCATGACCCTGCAGAGCCTTCCTCCTGCTCGGTGGGAGGGTGCATGCGGCTGGGAGGCTCCTGCAGCGGGGAAGGACCACTCCTGGCTTCTCCTGCGCTGGCAGGACCTCGTGCCGGGGTGGAAGTGGAGCTCTCACCCTCCTGTCTCTCTCTCTCTCCCACTTGTGTGCCCCCCTGCAGGTGACGGTGTGCTGGGTGGAGGAGATGCCGGCGAGTAACGGGCAGTCCGTGTCTCCCCAGGCCGAGCACGCCGGCATCCGCACCTACTTCTTCAGCGCCGAGAACACGGAGGAACAGGAATCCTGGATCCAAGCCATGGGCGAGGCCGCCCGGGTGCAGATCCCCCCGACCCAGAGGTCAGCACCCACCAGCTCCCTGTGCCATCCCTCTGCCCTGCTCTCCCGGGGATGGGGGGGTACGTCACGGCCGGGGACTTTTGGGATCACGAGGGACCCTCTGGAGAAGGGAGCTGGGTCGGCGCCGGCCCCCCGAGGCCAAGGGAGGGTCAGGACGTTGTGGCCACCCCGGGAGCGTCACAGAGGGAAGTTGACCTCTCTCTCCCATCTTGGCATCCCCCAGGCACGAGAAGCCGGACTCGGAGAACATCCCGCCCAGCAAACACCACCACCACCTGCACTGCAACAGCGCCCACCGCGAGCACCCCAAAGCCGACCCCGACGCCAAGACCCGCGGGGAGGGCGATGGCCGCGGCTCCGAGAAGATGGAGAGGAAGCCGGAGCGGGCGGAGGGCAAGAAGGAGCCGCTGGCCAAGGCCAACGGCGTGGGCGGGCAGGAGGGGCCCTCGGAGCCCGGCAGCCCCTACCCCGAGGCGCTGCGGGGGCCGGGCAGCGCCGAGCGGCCGCCGCAGCCCAACGGGTGGCCGTACCCGTCCCCCAGCCGGCCCGGCAGCACCGCCTTCCCCCCGCCCGACGGCGAGAGCAGGGACCCCCGCCGGGCCGCCGCCCCCCGCCCCAACCCCGACAAGGTGGCCCAGCGCAAGAGCTCCATGACGCAGCTGCAGCAGTGGGTGAACTCCCGCCGGGGGAACGTGCCCCCCGAGGAGCTGCGCAGGTGAGACCCCGCTCCCTTCTGCCAGGCTTGTCCTTCGGGTGGTGCTCTGGGAATGTTCTTCCCCTTCCCGCCCGCTTCCTGCCCTGCTGGGGTCAGAAGATCTCCTTTCTGGCTCTCCTTTCTCTCCGTGTGTCGGCTCTGAGCTGCGTGGGGGACGCCCCAAAGAGTTGAGCAGGGTGGATTTGGGGGAGGTGGATTTTTGGGGGTCCCCGGGAGGAGGGATTCCAGGAGCAGAGGCCTCCCTGGGAGGAGGGATACAAGGAGAGGAGGCCACCACAGGATCTCTGGAAGAGGAATGCCAGGAGGGAAGGCCACCATGGGATCCCTGGAAGAGGGATGCCAGGAGGGGTGGGCACCTTGGAGTCCCTGGGAGGAGGGCTGCCAACCAGCCAGCTTTCCAGACACTAGTGTTGGAGCTGCCTGCTCCAAGTCTGTCCTTTCCCCCTGGACCCTGGGCACTGCCTGCCCTCCAGCCTGGCTCTCACAACCCTCTTCCCCGCTCCAGCCCCACCAGGTTTTACCCTGTGCCTCGCCGGGTGCCCGACTACTATTCCCCCTACTCGCCGCAGTACCCCGAGGAGTACCAGTACTACCCCGCGGGCGTGCGCCCCGACAGCATCTGCTCCATGCCCGCCTTCGACCGGGTGAGCCCGCCCTGGGCGCTGGAGGACAAGCGCCACTCCTTCCGCAACGGGGGCACCTTCCAGCTGCGGGACTGGAAGGACCCGGCCGGGTTCGGCCGGCAGGACGTGCCGCTGTGGCTGCCGGCCCCGGGGAGGCAACCGCCCTACCTGGACGAGGTGGACGCGGCCTCGGGCTCCCTGCGGAGGATGTCGCTGCAGCCGCGGTCCCGCTCGGTGCCGCGCTCGCCCAGCCAGGGCTCCTACAGCCGGCCGCGGGTGTACTCGCCCGTGCGCTCGCCCAGCGCCCGCTTCGAGCGGCTCCCGCCCCGCGGTGACGAGATCTACGCCGACCCCACTCCCTTCATGATGAGGCGGTCCATCAGCTCGCCCAAGGTGAGGGCCCGCCCGCCGGGATGTGCTGGGATGGAGGGGGACTCTCGCCGGGCAGGGCAGGGCAGGGGGGCTGCGGCACGGCATGTCCCCTCTGCGTGCACAGCCTGGCCTCAAAGGGCCACCTTGCAGCAGCTGGTGGCTTTGGGGACCCCTCTGGTGATCCTGCAGAGCTGCCCTGGCTGTGGTTGTTCCAGAGGAATGGATGGATGAATGGGGTGGGGTGCTCAGGGCCACCACGGGTGATGTGCTCCCAAGCAGGGAGTGCTGGTGTCCCTGTGCCAAAGCCAGGCCTGACCCTGCTGGGGGCCGGGGTCTGTCCTGTCCTGTGCTTTCTGGCTCTCACACGCCTCTCACGTGTCTCTGATTTTGGGGTGGGGTCTCCTCTCTTCACAGTACGACTACCTGGGTGACAGGCGGCCTGTCCCCCCCGGAGTGTATCCGTACCACTTCCCAGCATCCCCCACCATCCACGACAAAATGGTACGTGCGCTGCTGGCCCAGGGAGGACGGGGGGCAGTTTGGGGGGTCCCCACTCAGATGGTCAAGGAGGAATCACTGCACTCCAGGGGCAGCTTTGTGGGTCACAGCTGGGCTGCTCTGGGCCAGGTTGGGACTGCAGGTCCTTTTACTGGTCCCTCCTGGCCATTCCCAAAGGAAATCCTTATGGAAGGGCCCCTGGCCCCCACTCTGCAGCAGTGGGACACCCTTGGACCCCTGTCTTCCCCAGGGTGGTCCCTGCCTGAGGCTGGTGCACCCCCTGCCTGTCCCCCTCTGCTTCCTCCCTTCTGGCGACAGCTGCTGCGTTTCCCTGCATTGTTTCCTCTCGGAGGGGCCGGAGCTGGTGGGGTGGCACCGAGAGGTCCCCCCGCAGAGCACGACCCCAAAACCACGGGGCAGGACCATCGGAGGAGGGAGAAGCCTGAGCTACCATAAGCCACCCATGCTGCCATCCATCCTCGTAGCCGCAGGGTGACCGGGGTCCGCAGGGCACGGCCAGGGCGGCGTTCCTGGCTCTGTGCCCCGGAGGTGCCTCATTTCCCAGCCAGGAGGCCTTTCCATAGCCCTCACCTAACTGCTTTTGCTTCTTCTTTTATATGTTTTGCCGTTCGTTTCTTGCCGCGTGCCTGCTGGCTCCTGGTAGGATGAACTTTTAGACCTTCAGTTGCAAAGAAACCTAGAGTATTTGGACCAGCAGGTAGGCAGAGCTGGCTGCCAGCCCCACCTCACCTGCTGCTTTAGTCCCCTCGTGCCCTCCCCGTCCCCAGCGGCTCTCCCCTTCCCTCCCGGCGCAGCATCTCGTCCATCCATCCATCCATCCATCCTCACCCTTCTTGGCATTCCAGCAGCACGAGTTGGTCTTTGGTTTGCTTCTTCCATCCTCCCCATCCGTAGGGTCGCTCATTGCTTGGCAGAAAGTCCCCCCTGACAGTGCCTCTGTGTGGTGTGCTGGAGATGGGGGGCGTGGGGGGGAGCCAGGGCAGCTTCCTGCATTCCTGGGGTCTCGGGGAGCTGCCCTGGGGTCCAGGGGGTGCAGTGGCTCTGAAACCCCCCCTGGTCAGTGCTGGACACATGCACGGTGCCAGCGTGGCTGTGCTGGAGGGTGTGGGGTCCCAGGGCTGGTGTCCCCCGTGCAGGGGGTGGCCAGGTGACCCCTGGGGACTGTGGTTTTGGTGATGTGGTGGCCCCGTTCCTCCTCGGAGGTGAAAAGTTTGATGCAGGTGGGCGTGAGGGGCCCACCGGGTCTGACACCAAAGCACTTGGGTTTTTGGAGCAAAACGGTGAACTGACTTCATCCCAGGAGCATGGGGAGGGAATACAGCTGGGAGACACCCCCAGGAATGTGTCCAGGCAGGGGCTGCAGTCAGAGCTGGGGACAGGAGCTGCTGGGCAGTGCTGCAGCCCAGGCTGGCACTGAGGGAGCTGCTCCAGAGACAATCTCATTAGTCTGCAAATCTCCACCGGTGCAGCAATCGCCACGATCTGTGTCTGCCTTGGAGCAGGGCCAGGGCCAGGCAGGAGCACTTGCTGCAATAAAAGCTCTCTGGGCTGTTTCGCAGCCACCGGCAGCATCGCTGCCTCTCCCCGGCTCTTTAAACCACTCCCTGAAGAGGCTCTGCCTCTCCTCCTCCTCCTCTCCCGCCGACCTGTGGAGAGACTAATTGGGAGTGACGCTGTCAAGTGTCTCTTTTCAAACATCTTGCTGCTTTATTTTCTCTCTCCTTGCTCATCCAGCTGCAGGCACGGCTCCCTCGGCTGCCCCCAGTCAGGGTTCAGTCCCTGCTTTGTGCTCAAAGTGCTGTCACCCCTTGGATCTCGGGGGTTCTGGACATGAGGGGCTCCCCTGGCATGGTCTGCTCAGGGCTGTGGGCTCCTGCAGCACTTCTGTGGGCAGAGGCAGTGGTAGAACTCTGGTGCTGGTGACCTGAGTGGCCCCATCACCCGGTTCTGAGGGAGCCGTGGTCACCGCCGGCTGTGCACCCCTGCAACCCCTGGCTGGAGTCTGTCCTGCCCCCCTGGAGGGCTTGGCTACAGCTTGGGAGGGGCACAGGGATGCCAAACCCATCACATCCGTGCCTGGCAGCACGACCTCAATGTGCCACCTCCCAGTTCCACCCTGCTGGAGGCTCTGCTGGGCTGGACAAGGGGACGCCACTGTCCCCATGCCCGACTGTTAGTCACCTCCCCGATGCCATCACGGCCCCAGCTGGGCACGGAGCCACCAGCCAGCGTGAGAGCAGGGTCTGTGTGTCCGTCTGTGTGCTGGGACCCGCTGTGCTGCCGCCGTGGCGTCTCTGTCCGAGCCCATGTCTGCCTGTGCCGTTTGCAGCTCCGAGCCGGCTCCGGTTTTATCTGTGCTTTCCCCAGAGCGTTCAGGGCGCTCAGCCAGCCCTGGGTGCACCCAACGGAGCGGCAGCAGCCCCGGGGGGGGGCCGTCCCCACGTGTCTCCAGCCGCTGGGACATCTCAGGAGGTGGCACTTCACGTCCCGAGGGCCCCCGGAGCGATGCCGGCGGCTCGGGCGGCGCGCGGGCGCGTCTCCGCTGACCTGTGCCCTTTCCTTCCCTGTGTGCCGCAGATGAGCGAGAGCGAGACCCTGATCAGTATGGTCAACAGGATGGTGGAGACCTCCTCCCCTAGGGCCCAGCTCTACATGCAAGTAAGGCTCGGGCCGCCGGGCCCCGCGTGGCTTGTGCCCAGCCGCGGGTCCGGCCGTGCCCCCCGCGCCATCCGGGGTCACCTCCCACCATCGCCAGTCATGCAGACCCGGCATCCACGCGGCGCATCACCCCCCTCGGGGGCCTGCTAGTCCATCCCAGGCTTTGCTAATCCATCCATGAGCCATTAAAACCCGGCAAATCCTCGCGCCGGGCGAGAGCTCGAGGCGGGGCCGTGGCGGTGCCGGACTCTCATCCTCGTTGGGGCTGCGCTCGGGGCTTGGCTCATCCTTGTTTTGCCATCTCATGAGGCAAGGAGGAGGTGTGGGATGATTGCAGACAGGAATCCAGCCCGAGGCTCTTAAACCAACGCAATAACTCCTGCAAGAGGGAGAGGAAACAGCCTTTTACCCCTGGAGGCTCTGGCTCCTTCTGTTCCCAGCACCGGGATGTTCCTGCTGGTGTTGGGTTGCAGCTCCCAGCACAGGCAGGTCCCATCACTTGAGCTCACCGTGCCACCCACCCCGGGCAGGGGGTCTCGGGGCCCCGCCGTGCTGCCCAGGGCACCTTCTGGCTGTGCCAGCAGCCCGGAGATCACTGGGATTTTCCAACAAAAAAGGCGCCTGTTTCCATCTGCTGTGAGCAGGGATGTGCTGGAGGGTGAAATCGGAGCCCCTGGGATGCTCTTGCTGGCTGGGCTCCCTGCCCGGAGGCAGCAGCTTCCCAATCCACCAGGCTCTGCCTCCAGCCCCGCCGGCACTTCCCAGATTCAGGTCCCTTTGCATTATCCCGTAGTTTAAATGGCTCTAAAGTAGCATCTTGCTTTCTAGCAATAATGATCCCCTTCTTCCTATCTTCTGCCTTTCATCTCCAGATCTTGGAGGCATTTAATTGCTGAGGTCCCATTAGTAATTTAGATTTCCAGGAAAGGAAAGTGACTCACGGAGAAGCTGGGTGGTGGTAAACAGGCCCTGCTGCAGCTGCTGATTTATAGGTGTTTCCACTCTGCTAAGTGGAATTACAGCTCAATCTCGCTGCCTTTGTTTCCCTGCCTCTGGAATGGTGGCAGTTAATGATTCACGAGGCATCTCTTTAGCTCAGTCCTTGGCTCCTGTGGAGAGGCTGTGTCTGGATAATTCCAGTGGCTCACCAGCTGATGGGCAGGGAGGTTGTTGTGACTTCATCCATGTCCAGCACTGACATCCCAGTGCCTCCCGATGGATGGGGAGCACCCACCACCTCCAGGACTCGGCTCTTCCCTCTCTTTCCCCACTCGCAGGGATGGGAGAGAGGGGCTGGGAGCTGCCTCCCCTTCCTGGGATCCCAGGGCTGGGCTCACCCCATGCTCTGCTTGCAGGTGACGCCCTTCCCGGAGGCCTACAGGGACACTCTGCATCCCTACAAGATAAGCGAGCAAGACACTGATGTAAGAGCAAATGTCTGTCCTGTGTGGCCCCCCTGTCCCCCCCCAGCAGTCCTGCTGTCCCCCCAGAGAGAGCTGTGCCCTGTGCTCCCACAGCTGGGAGCTGCCCCCAGTTTGGTCTGTGCTCCCCAGGGAACAAATCCTTCATCTCCCAGTTTGTCCTGTCCCACCCTGGCTGGTCATGAAGTCCCTGCAATGAGAGCAGGAGGCTGGAAACCCTCCCCAAGGCCACACATCCCACCAACCCAACCCAATGGGCCGTGTCATGCCTGCATCCTGCCTCTCCCAGCCGGGAGACCGTGCTGGACCCTCACCCTCCTCATCCTCTCCCCCCTCTCTCTTTCCCTCCTGGCACAGAAGCTGCTGGGGAAGCTCTGTGAGCAGAACAAGGTGCTGCGGGAGCAGGAGAGGCTGGTGCAGCAGCTCCGAGCTGAGAAGGTGCGTGGTGGCAGCTCGAGTGGCCCTCTGGGGACAGGGGATGGCCCTGCCCAGGCAGCCCCTGCCTGGTGAGGCAGTGACCTGTCAGCACAGAATGGTTTGGGCTGGAAGGGGCCTTAAGGATCACATTGTTCCAAGCCCCTGGCACGGGCAGGGACACCTTCCACTAGCCCAGGTTGCTCCAAGCCCCGTCCAGCCTGGCCTTGGACACTTCCAAGGATGGGGCAGCCACAGCTTCCCTGGGCAAATGTCCTGCTCCCTTGGGGGCAACTCAGTGGGGATCTTTCTGAGGTGAGGGAGGTGCTCTGGCCATGCACAGCCCCAGGATTCCCTGGGTGTTAGTGCCCTGTTCAGGAGGGGGATCAGAGCTCCTGCACCGGCCAGGCTCTCACAGCTCTGTCTCCCTCCCATTCCATCCAGGAGAGCCTGGAGAGTGCCCTGATGGGGACACACCAGGAGCTGGAGATGTTTGGGAGCCAACCTGCCTACCCAGAGAAGCTGCTGCACAAGAAGGAGTCGCTCCAGAACCAGCTCATCAACATCCGTGTGGAGCTGTCTCAGGCCAGCACGGTAACGGACCCCTCCCTCCTCTTGGGGACCTTCACACCTCCCACTGTGTCCCTTCTCTCCCTTCCCAGAAAGAAAACAAAAAGGGAATTCCCCTTACCTGGCTGGGGGCCAGAGGAGCCAAAATCCCTCACGGGGCACGAAGCAAATTAGCCGTGGAGGTGCCATCCAGCCACTGTCCCTGTCCCTGTCCCTGCCTGTTGGCACCGGGTGCTCCCACGGGCACCTCAGAGCTTGTCCCCTCTTCTGCCACCCCCTCCCCAGCTCGGGAGGCTGTGTTGGGTGCAGCCTCCTCCTGCTTTCCCGGGTGGTCCAAAGCTGCTTCCAACCAGGGGAGGAACCTGCCAAGGACCCCCCTGACCCACCTTCCCCCCCAGGCCTTGGCAAACAGCACCGCCGAGTACGAGAGCCTGGAGAGCGAGGTGTCCACCCTGCACGACGACCTGTGGGAGCAGCTGAACCTGGACATCCAGGTGAGTGGGTCCCCCTGCCATCCCTGGGGTCCCCCTGGGGGGAGGTGGAAGCCCCCCCAGTTCCTTCAGCCCTCGTGTCCTGCTCTGACCGCTGCCTTTCCTCCCCGTCCAGAACGAGATGCTCAACCGGCAGATCCAGAAGGAGATCTGGCGGATCCAGGACGTGATGGAGGGGCTGAGGAAGAACAACCCGTCCCGTGGCACCGACACTGCCAAACACAGAGGTGAGTGGGTTCTGTCCCTGCCCAGCCAAGACCCTGACGTGCTATGTCGTGGGGTGTCCCTGGTGACTCTGGGCAGACAGCAGCTCCTGCTCGGAGACATGGTGGCCCTTATTATTATCATATTATTGCCTTATCATAATCATCTCTTTATTATCTTATTCCTGCTCCTCTCCACAGTGGCCCTGGGCCCCTCGGGGACGTACAGCTCCAACAGCCCTGCCAGCCCCCTGAGCTCTGCCAGCCTCACCAGCCCCCTCAGCCCCTTCTCCCTCATCTCTGGCTCCCAGGGCTCGCCCACCAAGCCCGGACCCAGTGAGGTGAGCGAGTGGGAGGGTTTGGGGTGGGACTGGGGGATACTGGGCACCAGGCACAGAGCACAGATGCCTCTCCTCGTGGCTCTGCCTGGGGGCACCGTTTGGGCCACACGGATGGTGGGATGCAGTGTCCCCCTCAGCAGTGGGGTGGGATGCCCTGTCCCCCTCTGCCCAGGGACACAAAGACACTCCGGAGCCTCCGCTCTCCCTCCTGCCCTCCTCAGCTCGGCACTTCCACTGTGTGTTATCTTGGCCTCTCTCTAACTCTCTCTTCCTTCTCTGCTCTCCCCCCTCACGCTCCGCCCCAGGAACCAGGCCCGCCTCGACCTCCCCTCCCCAAGTCCTACGTCCCCCTGGAGTCTCCTCCGGCCGTCCCTCCACTGCCCAGCGAGAGCCGCCTCTGGCCGTACCCCACGTCCCCTTCCTGGCAGCACGGCGGGGCAGAGGCCAAGCGGGGACAGGTACCGAACCCCAGGGCAGCTGCCACCCTGTGCTCCTCCTCCCCGAGACGTGGCAGGGGCTGGCATGAGGCAGGACACGGAGCTGCCCACCCCGAGCCCGCAGGGACAGCTTGGAGGTGGCACTTGGCGTGGGGACAGCAGCACGTGGCTCTACCTGCCATCCCCTGAGCAGCCCCCCCATGGCCCTCGTGTCCCCACCAGGTCCCCAGTGCCCACTGTACTCGCTCAGGACATGGATTGTCCCCTCCTGGGCAGCCCCCAAGGCTGCCACAGCCTTTGGCATCACCCTCTCTGCTTTCCTCTGCCCTCACCTCTCTCGCTGTCCTTCCGTGGCACCGCTCCCTGTGTGGTGCTGGCGGGCTCTGCCCGTGGGGGTGAACCCCTGGCTCCTGCCCACCAGGGCAAACCTGGATTTGGAAATTGTTGCTGCTGCCTCGGCTGTGCTCGTGCCGGGGGAAGGGGCCAGGTGTGGGCACCAGGAGCCACTGGTGTCCCTGCAGCTGGGGGCTGGGATGTGTGTCCGTGGGGGCTGGCACGGCAAAGCAGAGCTGGGAAGGGTCACAGACCCCACTGCCAGCACGGGTGGCACTTCCAGCAGCTGTGGGTGGCACAGGGGTGGCTGCACGTTGGTCCATGGGGTGTAAGGGGTGTCTGGGTTCATTGTGTCCATTGAGGGGGCACCCTGGGCTGCTTGGCCCATTGCCATAGCCCTCCCTCACACCAGCAATTCCTGGGCTCCAGGCAGGCTGTTCCCATGGGATACAAGGTGGGGAAGGACCCCAGAAATGGCTCTTGGCTCTCTCTCATGCCTGTCCCAGCTCCTGCCCCTCTGGTACCACCCCCCTTCCCACAGGCACAGGGTCTGGCTGGAGCCCAGCACAGAGCCAGGGTGTTCCTGTCCCAGAGCTCCTGGGTGCCATGGTGGGATCATCAGCCTTTCAGGGAGCTTTTCCCGTGGAGAAGCCTGGCCTGTGGCTGGTGTCTGTGTGTCCATCCACCGCCAGGAGCGTGTCCGTGGTCCGTGGCTGTGGAGAGCAGGGGGTGTCCCCAGGCAGAGCGTGGCCCCCAGACAGGACAGGGGGGCTCACCAGGGCCCTGCTTCCCTCCCACAGCCCAAACCAGGCTTCGAGCAGAGCAAGAAGGAGGCGCAGCGACCCAGCCCCCCCGGCCCCCCGGGCGAGGGGCTCCTGCAGGGCCGGCAGGAGCAGGATGCGGAGAAGCAGGCGGCTCTCAACAAGGGTATGGCTCGACTGGGGACAGGAGGACCCCAGAGAACCCTGCTGGGACTCTGCCCTCGGTCCCCGGGGGGCTCAGCCTGGCGTTCTGCTTTGCTCCACAGTGGGAATCGTCCCCCCCAGGACCAAGTCCCCGGCGGAGGAGGAGGTGGTGGCGAGGAGGAGTGCTGCTGGCATGGCCAACGGGCTCAGCTCCCGGGTAGGGCTCGGCTTGAGGGGGCAGGGGCTGGGCTGGAGGGCTGGGTGAGCCGGGAGGGGGCTGTGGTGCAGCCTGCACAGAGGAGCCTGCTGCTGAGTGGCTCCGTGTCTGGCCATCCGCTCCTTGAGATCCCTCCTGGGTGATTCCTGACCGATTCCTGGGCGATTCCCCATCCCAGGAGCGGGCATCCCGGGACAGGGCTGAGCCCAGCAGCCCACGGCAGAGGGTTGTGGCACTGGGAGGATGGGGCAGGGGTGGGTGACCCGGGGCTGGGCTACCCCCAGGAGAGACCGAAGAGCGCCGTGTTCGCCACCGAGACGAAGGTGAAGATGAGCGTGGAGGAGCAGATCAACCGCATGAAGCGCCACCAGAGCGGCTCCATGAAGGAGAAGAGGCGCAGTTTGCAGCTCCCCAGCAGCCAGCAGCCCGAGCCCCCCGGCACCAAGACCCCCACCTCCTACAAGGTGGTGAGTCCCTGCGCCTGGCAGGTCCCTCCTGGAGCAGAGGGGACACTGGGGGCCGGGGAGGGGGACAGGGTGCTATCCAAGGGGGCTCAGCCGGGCCGGGGTCCCTCGCAGGTGCGCCGGCACCGCAGCATCCATGAGGTGGATATCTCGGACCTGGAGGCCGCGCTGCGCTCGGACGACCCTGGGAAGGTGTACGAGACCCCCCAGGAGGAGATCGCCCGACTGCGCAAGATGGAGCTGGAGCCGCAGCACTACGACGTGGACATCCACAAGGAGGTGAGCACGGGGTGTGCCGGGGACGTGGGGCATCCCTGAGGGGTTTGTCCATCCTGGAACCACTAACCAGGGGCTGCCATTGCCCAGATGGGTGTTGGGGTGAGTGGGGCAGGCGGTGCTGGAGGGGGACAAGTCCTCCATGCCCAGCACAAGGCTCATCCCTTTCCACTGCCCCCAGCTCTCCACGCCTGACAAAGTCCTCATCCCTGAGCGGTACGTCGAGCTGGAGCCCGAATCACCCCTCAGCCCCGAGGAGATAAAGGAGAAGCAGAAGAAGGTGGAAAGGATCAAGACCCTCATTGCCAAATCCAGGTGGGGCTGCGGTGCCCGTGCCAGCCATCCCGGGGGGGTGAACCCTTCCCCAGCCATCCCGGGGGGTGAACCCTTCCCCAGCCATCCCGGGGGGGTGAACCCTTCCCTGGCCATCCCGGGGGGGTGAACCCTTCCCCGGCCATCCCGAGGGGCCTGGCACGGGCGCTGACGCCGGGTGCTCCACACAGCCTGCAGAACGTGATCCCCCTGGGCGAGGGGGAGGTGGACACCCCCCAGGACCCCGAGACGCAGCTGCAGGAGCAGGAGAAGAGGATCGAGATCTCGTGCGCTCTGGCCGCCGAGGCCTCGCGCCGCGGCCGCATGCTCTCGGGTGAGGGGCAGGAGGGGTGAGGGCAGGGCGGGTTGGGCACGTCGGGTGTTGGTTTGGCAGCACGAGCAAGGAGTCAGGACGGGCAGGAGAGGGATCAGTACTGTGTCGATCCTGGGCAGGGCATCCCTGGGCAGTGGGAGAGCCAACAGCTCCTGGGCCCTGCCCGCCATGCCTGGGGCTGCCTTCCCCTGAGATCCTGGGATGGAGCAGCTATTCCAGCGGGGCACAGCTTCCAGCACCTTACTGGGAGCGTTTGCAGGGGTGGGAGTGCCTGGCTGGGTGGGCATGAGGTGACACGCCTTGGCTGAGCGAGCGTGGTGGCACCCCATGCCCGGGGACTGTGGTGGCACCCCATGCCCAGGTCAGCACGGTGCCATGCTATCCCTGGTGATGGTGGTGTCATGCCATGCCCAGGTCAGCACGGTGCCATGCTGTCCCTGGTGATGTTGGTGTCACGCTGTGTCCATGAGGAGCCCTGCTGGGAGCTCACGTGTGCGCGCCGGGACCGGGCGCCGCTGTGGCTGTTTGTCCTGCCCGCGCTTGCTTCCCCCCTGCCTGCCTACCTGCCTTCCTTTCCCCCCATCCCTTTCCTCCCCGCTAACCCCCGGCTGGGTGCCCTCCCCGCTGCCGCAGCCCGTGTTCCTCACGCCCTTCTCCGGTTTCTGTTTCCAGCTCAGTGCGCTACCCCCAGCCCTCCCACCTCCCCAGCCTCCCCGGCTCCTCCGACCAACCCCCTCTCGGCCGAACCCCGGGGCGCCGACAGCAGCCACTTAATGCGTGTGTGAGCCGTGACCGTAAGCACCTCTTCTCTCCTACCGCAGCCCAGCCCACCCCCTCTCCAGCCCGGGGGACCTGGCCGGGGTGCCCCTTCTGTGCCCCATGCCCGGCCATCACTGCTTGCTCCAGCTAACCAACATTCCCTGAGCCACGTCAGCCCCGTCTCCTCCATGGACCAACACGAGCATCCCCCATGGCGCTGGGGGTCAGCCCAGCGTGGGCACGGGGGGCTCAGCAGGCTGCAGTGGGCAGGGGGGCCGTGCAGGGAAAGGGGAGGGTCTCTGGGATTCACCTGCCTGGTGTGAAATTGGTGGCTGCAAACTGGGGGGGACACGGTGTCCCCCTGCTCGGGTGGATGTTCCCCCAGGGGAGCCAGGGGCATAGAGCCAAATCTGTGCCAGGTTTTCCTGCACAGGGCAGAGAGGGAGCTGCGGGGTGGGCACAGGGGCTGCCTCACCACTGCCCGCCGCCCCGCTCAGCCCTGCTCTCCCGCCCCTCCAGCTCAAGCCCTGGCTGCTGCCGGCACCATCAAGTTCCACGGGGCCACGTTTTAGCCCCCCCCGACACGACACCGAACCTCTCGCCATCGTTTTTGGTTCTCCTGGACCCCCTTCCCCCCTTCCGACGGCGAGACCACCCGGCACGGCCGCGCGGGGGATGCGGCGCCGACGGCACCGGCTGCTCTGCCCCGGCCTGAGTAGACATGGGGGTGCTGGAGGTGGTCCCCGAGTAGCCCCTGGGCTGGCAGTGGACACAGGGACAGATCTGCCGTGTCCTGGGTGCCAGGCCCACGCGGGCAGCCGGGCAGGGACATCCGTGACAGCGGCCACTGGCACAGCGGGCACCTCCCTGCCGGGGCATCCCTGGGGAGCGTTCGGACTCCTGGGACGCCTCCCAAAGGTCTGTGAAGGGGCTCTCTGGGTGGAGACCGGCCAGTCCCCACCACGGATGGTGCTTCCACCTTCCACCAGGCTTGGATGGTCCATCTGAGCTCCTCGGGTGCCTCTTCCCCTCCCTGAGCCCTGACCCTGCTTTTTGCACCCGCCTGGCCTGGGCTGTCCCGTCCCTCCTGGTGCTGGGGCTCGGCTGGAGGCAGAAGGAGCCATGTCAGGAGCAGGGTGGGTGGAGGTGGGACTGTGGGGACACAGAGGTGCCCGGGGCAGTGCCCTGTGCGGGGTCAGGGTGGCACCAGGGCTGCCTGTGGCACCGGAGCGCCGCTGGCACGGAGCAGGAGGTGTGGGCAGGGATGGGGACGTTGGATGGGAGCAGGGCAGGGAGCTGGGTGCCAGGTGGGGTGGGGAAGCCGTGGGGTCATCAGGGACCCCCCCAGTGGGTGAGGATGGTGGTGAGAAGGGGAAGGGGCCAGGCAGGAGCAGCGGGGTCACCTCGGCTGCCACCGTCACCCCCGAGCCCTCCCAAAGCCTGGCCCTGTGTCTCCCCCAGACCCTTCCCGTTGCACTCCAGCCCCTTCCAGCTGTTTGGATTTCCTGTAGCAAATTTACCCTTTGCTTTAACGTTCTGGAGGGTGGGGAAAAAAAAGCGGGTTCTGCCCAGAAAAGCAGAATCCCTGGCAGGATGTGTGGTTGGCAGGGCTGCCCCCAGGGGCCGGGGTGGGCAGGGAGGATGGAGTGAGGAGCTGGAGACTGGATACCGTCCATCCCACAGCTACTTCCCTACTGGCTGATCCTGACCCCCCCAGGAGCCCTGCACCCCATTATCCCCCATACACCCCATCTTAGCAATACTGTAGGAACCCCCAGAGCCCTAAATCCTCCTCCTGAGCCTCCCTCAGCCCTCTTAGCTCATAAAGCTGGCCCTTTATTTTGCTATTACATGCCTTAATATATGTTTTATGGAAATTATACATTTATAATATATATCTATATTTGGTTTTTTCTCTTCTTTCCTGGGAGGAACTGTTTGTGCCGAGCTCTCTCTCCGTGGGGTTGTGTTGGCACCAGCCCTGCCCATGAGTTACAAAAAGCAGATTCTTTGCCAATTTATCAGAGGGAAAAAAAAAAAAAAAAAAAAAAAAAGAAAAAAAAACCTATTTAAAATATATATATTTTTTCTGCTTTTATTAAAAGCAAATTTATTTAAAATAAAATATACAGAGACTGTAAGTTTTAAGAGATGATGTTTATTTCCCTGTCCCTGAGTGCAGCAGGGGGGTGACCAGGGTGGGCTCCCAGCTGGTGTAACTGGGGCAGACCCCCCTTACACCGGCTGTGGGGACACCATGGGGACACACCGGGGTGGCTGTGGCCAACACAGACCCACAGGCAGCAATTTTTCTCATCTCCAGGGAGCAGGGAGGATGAGGAGCATCCCAGTGCTCCTGTCCTGGTGTTCCCAGAGCCATCAGACACAAGTGACCGTGTCTGAGCTGTCCCCAAGGTGTGTCCCCAGGGCACCCCATGGCTGCCCTTGGAGCCCAGCTCTGGTTTTGTTTGGGTTTTTTTTTGTTTTTGTTTTGTTTTGTTTTGTTTTGTTTTTTAAAAAAAGACAACCTTAATTAATTTTATTTTGGTTATTATTTTTCATAACACTTCATATACCAGTGACTTGTAACCGAGAAAGGATTTGCATCGGGAGGAAATCTATTTATGCATTGGGGAGGGTGGGATGGGAGGTGATTGTTTTCTGGGATATTTTGCTAGTGGTAGAGAAATAAAAGTATCTATGAAATGACAACATTTGTGTGTCTTTTGTCTAGAGATGACCTTGGTTTTAATATTAGACCAAAGAAACAGTGGATGAAAGGCAGTTGGGAAGGGGTTCACCTGGCCCATGGATCTCTCCAGAGGCACCTTCTCCTCCCTCTCCCTGAGGAACCTTCTTCTCCCTCTCCCTGTTTTCGGGGTTCATTTTCCCCAGTGGGGTTTATTTTGGGCTGTGGCTGGTTCTTGGGCAGGAATAAAACCCCTTTTTGTGTGAAGCCAAGGGGTAAAAAGGGGCTGGTTTGGGAAGAGCTGGAGCTGCTCCGAGGGTCGCGGGCACAGAGGGCCCTGGGGGTGGCTCAGGGGTGACATGTGCCAGGAAGGGACCCTCTGTTGGCCACAGCCAGCGGGTCTGGTCGAGCCATTATTCCCACATCAGGGCATGGAACAGTCCCAGGACTCTCCTTTCCCGTGGAGCAGCCTGGATGTGAGCCGGGAATCAGGAGGATGCCACAGGGACCTCGCTGTCCCCCGGGTGCCACTCGGACACCCCAAAGGAGCCCTGTGCTCCCTATTTTATCCCTCTTTTATCCCTATTTCAGGGATTTCTCCAAGCAGGGTCCATCCCATCCCAGGGAGGGCAGGACCAGCAGGGTGCAGTGGCCACGGGCCACCACGTGCCCCCCGGGGGAGGTGCCGTGCCAGCGGGGCAGGCGCTGCCGGCGCCGTTAATGATTTGCAGGATGACGTGGGGACCACAGGGACTAAAGGGCTTTTCCAAGGGTCACCGTGGAGGCAGGGCCACCCTCGCCCGGCCTCACCCAGCCCCGGCACCGGCAAGATGGTGTCTCTGACCGACTTCCAGCGTAAGTGGGCACGGGGTGACCCGCGGGTGATGCCCATCCTTGTGGGACCAGGGCAGCTCCATGCCAGGGCTGGAAGCTGCTGGCTGGGGTGGCTGGGGCAGGGAGGGGTGTAATGGTAAGGGGGATGTGGGGACCAGCACTGGGGAGGTGCCTGGATCATCTGGAGGTCAGCTCCATCCTCTGCTGTCACTACCTGCACTGGCACCTTCGTGCCACTGCTCAGGAAAAGGCTGGAGATGGTTCTTCCCATTTATTTTTTCTATTCTTTTTCCAGAAGCCCTCAGGGGTTTCTAAGGCAACAACAGCCCCAAGGCCTGGGCAGGTGCAAAGGCTGTTTCTAAGCTTTGGAGACAAACCCAAAGTGTATTTCTGGGAGGGAATGGGACAGGGAGGTGCTGAAGGGAGGCACCACAACCTGCCACGGGAACTGAGGTGTGGAACCGAGCCCTTGTCTCAGCCCTCCCGTCTTCCACAGGGATTGGAGTGGGGCTGGTTGGCTTCGGCCTCTTCTTCCTCCTTTTTGGGATGCTCCTGTACTTTGACTCCGTGCTCCTGGCCTTTGGGAACGTGAGTACTGTGGGGCCAGGGCACAGCCGGCACCGATGCCCAGGACGGAGCAAAGAGCTCCTCTGACCCGCTCCCCTTCCTCCTTCCTCCCAGATCCTCTTCCTCTCTGGCTTGGTCTTCATCATCGGCTTCAGGAGGACCTTCACCTTCTTCTTCCAGCGGCCCAAGCTGAAGGGCACCAGCTTCTTTTTCGGGGGGCTGATCGTCGTCCTCATGCGGTGGCCGATCCTGGGGATGCTGCTGGAGGCCTACGGCTTCATCACCCTCTTCAGGTGGGTCCCAGGGCACCCAGACCCCCCCCAGGGGGGAGAGCAGAGCCTGGGGATCCTCCTCGGAGCCCAACCCAGACTTTTGTGTTGACACAGGAGCTTTTTCCCGGTGGCTTTCGGGTTCCTGGGCTCGCTGGCAAACATCCCCCTGCTGAGCCAGGTGAGCAGGGCTGACGTGCCCCCGGGCTCTGCAGCCCTTGGGTGGGATCAGCCCCCATTGCTGCAGTTGGGATCAGACAGGGAAGGTCACCGCAGCCACCCCACAGCCCCCTGAGGCTGCAGGGGTGGATTTTCCTGCTGATCCGGGTCTGTCCCTGTTGCAGCTCTTGCAGAAGGTGGGAGACAGCGGCTCCATGGTGTGACCTGACCTGGGACGGGCTGAGTGGCTGAGGTGGGATGGTGGGAGTGAGCCCTAGGTCCTGCTGGCCCTGGGGTTGTCTCTCTTAGCCCCAAGACCCTCGGTGCTGTCAGGAGTGACCCCACAATGGGGATGGGGTCCCCCTGTCCCGTGGAGCTCCCAGGAGCAGCTCCAGGGCCCCAGGGCTGTGCCAGGCAGGATTCTGGAGCTATTGCACTTATTTAATTCTTTTTGTCTTTCCCTGGTGAAAGGTTTAATAAAAAAATGTGTCTGAGACTGAGCTCAGGCTGGGCTCCTTTCCTGAGGCTCCAGCTCTGGCATCTCTTGGTGTCACCAAAGAGGCATCACAGCCATGGCTGGGGGTGGCACAGTGACCTTCCCATGGCTGTGGCTGGAGATGGCACAGGGGTCTTCCCATGGATGTGGCTGGGGATGGCACAGGGCCTTTCCCACGGATGGAGGTGGCACAGGGATCTTCTCATGGCTGGAGGTGGCACAGGGCCATTCCCATGGCCATGACTGGAGATGGCACAGGGACATTCCCATGGCCAGAACTGGAGATGGCACAGGGACATTCCCATGGCCATGACTGGGGGTGGCACAGGGACCCTCTGGTGGCCGTGGCCCCCCCGCCCTGGCCACCAGCCCCAGGCAGCTGGGGCAGGCCTGGCACGCAGGCAGGGGCCGTGGCACTGCCTTCCCACGCATCCCATGGGGGTGAGGCTGCCCGGGAGCCACGGGAGAGGGCAGGGGGGGGTTAGGAAAACACCCATTAAACCACATTAACATTCCCTGACCTGATCGGAGCAGAGTAAATTACCCCAGTCAGACTCAGCCACCATGAAACAGCAAATGACATCCGGGGTCATTAATTAATGAGGGATGCTGGGCTGGGAGGGGGCCTGGAGCAAACCCTCAGTGTTCCAGAGCCAGGACTCACGTTTCCCATTGGACTGTTCCCTGTGGGATGAATTGGACCTGCAGGATGGAGCTGGTGGGATTTACAGCACTGCTGGGCACTGGGGCAGCTCTGCCAGGGTTTGGGCCAGGGGATCACCTTCCAGCCCACCTGATGCCCACCCAGGCCCAGGTATCAGGTGCTTTCATCCCTGCTTGAGGAGGACCCACACTGCTGGATGCTCCGTGGGATGGGCATCCCGTGGTGGTCTGAGGTGCCAGCTGCCCATCCAGAGGTGTCCCAATGACACCAGGGACACCTTCACAGCTAGTGGGATGCTGAGGGCAGCCCTGAGCTCTCCCAGCTTCCCCTCAGATGACTTTAAAGAAGTTCTTTTGTCCGGGCTGCAGGAACTCCTCTGCCCAGGAGAACTGGTTGGGTAACTCCGTGTGCTCAGGCTGAGTGGAGCCCAGCCAGGTTCCCGTGAGCACTCGGGGCTCTGGGTGCAAGCAGGAGTTTAATTAAACCAAAGCAATCACATCAAAGCTGGTCCCTGCACAGAAACCCTCCTTCACTAGCAGGAATTAATTACTGAGCTGGAGTTAAACCTGTTCCCTCCCGGAGCTGGTGGCTGTGCCTGCTGTCCCTTGGTAGGCACAGCTCCGCTGCCCGGGAGTGCAGGGGGTTGGCACCAGGTGAAAGCAGAGCTGGGAAGGGCTCTGATGGCTCAGGTGATGTGGGGTAACTCATTTGGGCACCCAAATGCCACCCCAGAGTCAGGTTGAGCCCTGGGCTGCAGAGGATGAGCTCCCAGAAGGGATAAATGGGAGCAGAGCTCATCGAGCACCTGGGGCTGCTTCATGTCCCTGGGAGGGCTGGTTAATGGAAGTGGATGCCTGGTTTTGGGAAGTGGATCTTTACTTTGATTGCAGCACAAGGCTCTTGAAAAGGGGAAAACGAGCTTCATGGCAGGAACATGGTGCAGGTAAGTGAGGGCTGCAGCCTCCCCAGTGCCTTTATCCTATTCCTGTCTTGGCTCTGCCCCAGCTGAGAATTCCCACTTGGGCTCCACAGTAACCTTTTTCCTGGTCAAGCTTCATCTTCAGGCCTTCAGCAGAGGAAAGAGGAGTGGTCCCTGATGCATCATGTGCAGGGGAAGGTGGTTCCCACTGTTCAATGCCCCATCCCCATGGCATGTGCCCGGGTGCTGTGAAGTGCCATCACTTCACCCTGCTGGGAAAATCAAGCCAGGATGGAGCATCTTCTTCCCTGGGTGGCACTGAGGGATCATGGAATCCCAGAATGGTTTGGAAGGGACCTTAAAGAATATCCAGTCCCACCCCCTGCCATGGGCAGGGACACCTTCCACCAGCCCAGGCTGCTCCAAGCCCCATCCAGCCTGGCCTTGGTCACTTCCAGGGATGGGGCAGCCACAGCTTTTCCAGGCTCTGAGGAGCCCCAGGGAATGGCTGTGAGCTCCCTCAGCCTGAAGCTGGAGCTGCTCTCCTGGAGTTCATTGCAGGGAATGTTTTCCCTCCGGCCCAGTAAATCCCTGCTTTGCTGTGCCAGAGCAGTTTTGGTCTCCAGCAAAGGCTTTGGGTTTGCCCTGGCTCTGGCTGACGTCAGTACTGAATTCCCCCAGTGCTGGTGCCATCCAGAGCCTCCTCTAAGCCCTTCCCTGGAGCTGCTTTTCTGCTGGAGCTTTTTGGTCACCCAGAATAAGGATCCTCACAAGCCCTGTGTGTTTTTACTACCAACAAACTCGGGGACGAGGAAAGCGAGTGAATTGCGTGGGAAGGCCAGAAATGTGCCTCCTTTTTTGTGCTGCTTTAAAGGATCCCTCAAGAAATAAAAGCTAAAACTTCCTAATGATTCCATTTAGAGAG